AAAAAAGTTTCTTTTGAGGCAAGAAGTGAGAAAGACTAAAAATTAAAGATATAAAAATTTAAAAAAAAATAAAGAAAAAAATAATAAATAAATAAAATAAAATGAAATGAAATAAAATAAAATAAAATTAATATTAAAATTAAGTTAAAAATTAACATAAAATTTAAAATTAAAATTTGTTGAAAAGTGTTTCTTTTGGGGCAAAAAATTAGAAAAACTAAAAATTAAAATTAAAATTAAAATTAAAATTAAATTTAAAATTAAAATTAAAATTAAAATTAAAATTAATATTAAAATTATAATTATAATTAAAATTATAAGTAAATTTAAATTAAAATTAAAGCTAAATTTATAGGTATCTTAAAATTTAACTTAAAATTAGTTAATATTACAATTATATATAATAAAAAAGCAATTCACAAATAAAAAAAAATGCCATACAAGAATTTGATTTTGATCGGCCGGTATGTATGGCAGCTATATGCTATTGTTGTCAGATCCGAACATATTGTTCGGAGAATAGAGCGATGCCGTGGTAACTAATCCATGCTAAATTTCGTAAAGATGTCTTGTCAAAAAAAAAAGAGGTTTGCATACAAAGACTTGATTTTGAGCGATCATTTTGTATGACAACTATATGTTATAGCAGTCCGTTATTGATGATTCTGCCAATTGAGCAGCTTCTTGAAAAGAAAAGCAAATGTGAGGATTTTAGATCAATATGTCATAAACTGAAAGACTAGTTCGCTTATATACATACAGAAAAACGTGTGTGGCTAAATCGACTTAGCTTGTCACGCTGTTCATTTATATGTATGAGTATATTATACGGGTCTCTAATATTTCTGGTTCTGGGTTTCGTGGCAAAGTTAACCTACATTATATTTATTTTTTATTAAACCAATTTCGCTTTGCGGTCTTGCACCAAATTTCCCAGCACTTTTTTTTTAAATTAAATTTTTTGAATTATTTGCATTGTTTGCTCTTCATTAATTCATTTGAGTTGCAAATTAAATTACACCTCATTAACTATATTAACAATCAATCACTCATCATAAAAGTTGTTGATTTTTGTGCTATATACAACTGCTATACATTAACACTTCATTCATCTTATTTGTTTGCATTTGCGGTTTTCAATTCACTAATTGATGCATTAAATAGACTTACAATTAAATAAACAGTGTTTGGTAAGTTTCTATGGAATGCACGCGAAAATTTGTTTATTTGGAATATTAGTACTGTTATCTAATGTTTTTCAATTTCAGCATATGCAGTCATCGTTGGGGTTAGTAATGAAGAATTTTATTTTTTTTAAATAAGGTGTTAGGGGAAGTCCAAATTTTTAAAAATCGATGTTTTTTGCTTTTTATTTAAGTATAATATCTCAGAAATAGAAGAAAATAATATAACAGCAACTATAAAACAAATTTTTGCCAAAAATATATGCTATTGCCTGAAAATAAAAATAAAATTGCATGCAGCGTCAACTACAATATTTGCCATTGTTTTCTATAAGACATTTTCTCTGACTGGCTTAGAAAATTTTTTTTTACACAATTTCTTTGGTTTAAATATCTTATCTACTCTTTCATTTCCTTTTGCAGGACTGTTTTTTCACATATTTCGATTAAATATTAACCTAGATATTGGCTTGCACTCTGTCGGATTGTAATTTCTCTGATAGAATAGGTAGAATATCCCTTACAACAGTCTTTACCAACAATTTCCATATGCCTTTTGTATAATACTATTATATATAACCTTTAATATTTTTATTGATCCATATTAAGCCTTACGCCTATGCTAATCGTTGCCTTTCTTAGATATTTGCTTCTTCATAGCAAATTCTGTCAGCGCAGCATTGTTTTCAGATCAAATCGACCACTTTCAATATTTTGCCCCGCAAGTTATTGGAGTTTTGATTTAAAACGAATATTTTTAGAATTATTTGGTAGCAAAGAAGTATTAATCCCCTATTTGATTTAACTGTTCCTTTAAAGTATGAATTTGTGCTATCTTCTAAAAGAGTAGCAAAAACTAAACAGTTTAATTAGGCCTTTGTGGTAACAACATTAAAAAACGAGGTAGCAAGAAATGCGTGTTAAGTACAGGATTATTACATAATATGACTTGTTTATAAAGACTTGAATTTTAAACTTAGTTAATGTTAAGAGAATAAAGCGAGCGAGTAGAATAATGGACACAACACAACATATAAGCAAGTTTTTGAAACCAGGGCTCTGTATTATTTAGAGAAATGATAAATGTTGGGCCAGTTTATTCTATATTCTCTGCAGTATAACTAAAATTTAAATAAATTGAATAACGTTAAAGAAGTTAACTGGACGTAACAGAGAAGAAATTAGTAAAATAGGTACAAATCTATATAAAACCTAGTTATCATAATTCCGTTAAGAATTACAAAAAATTTTCCTTATGGAAAGCAAAACTAGTCAGTTCTAGTTGTTCAATTGTACTAATAAGTATATTGTATTGAAATAGCCAATTAATTAATTTTGCTGCAAACAACCGCTTAGTTTAATAAATTTAGCTATAATTATTTTGTTAATTTTAAACTAAAATTTTAGTTAATAATTATTTTAATTTAATTTAAATTTTAAATTTAAATTTAATACTCATTTTGAATGTAATTTTTAATTTAGTTTTAAGTTTTATAAGTTTAATTTACTTATTAATTAGTTCTATTCAATTATATCTGAAACTTTAATTTTGATTTTCTTTTAATTTATCTTAAAATATAAATTAAATTAAATTTTATTTTAATTTAATTTTAATTTTAATTTTAGTTTTAATTTAATATATTTTTTTATTTTTATTATTTGATTTTGTTTTAATTTAATTTTAAATTTTAATTTAATTACATTTTAATTTAAATTTAATTTCAATGAAATTAAATTTTAATTTTAATTTAGCTTTAATTTTAATTTAATTTCAATTAAATTAAATTTTAATTTTAATTTAGCTTTAATTTTAATTAAAATTTTAATTTAATAATAATTTTTGTTTTCGTTAAATTTTTGTTTTAATTTTAATTGTTTTTATAAAGTTTATAATTTAAATTTTGTTTTTAATGTCATTTTGCATTTTTCCATTTAAATTTTCTTTCATTCTATTTATTAAATTTTTATATCTAGTATGTTTTATTCCATTTTAAATAAAATAAAATTTCATTTATTCGGAATCTTATTATCAATTTTAATTTAATTTTTGTTTTAATATTGCTAAGATCTAAAATTTCTGTAATATAAACTTTTATACTTTGAATTTAAATTAAAAAAAATTGGATGTTATTTTGAAAATTCGAATTTTTAATTAATAAATTTTAAATTTATTTTTATTGTAATTTTTATTTGTTCCAAATTAAATGGTTTTCATTCTAATTTGTAAATATTTATATATGTGGTTATTTTAATATAAAAAAAATTAAATTTCACTTTATTAAGAGTCTTACAATCAATTTTATTTTAGTTCTTGTTTTGATCTAAAATTCTTATTTTTATTAAATTAATTAACTTTAAATTTATTTTTAATTTTTTTGATTTAGATTTGATTTAATTCTGAGTTTGGACTTTTTCAAAGTAAATTAAAATTTGTTTGATTTATAAATTTTTATAAATTTTAATAAAGGATGTATTTTATTTTATTAAGATGTTAAATTTGTGTAATAGTTTTAATTTTAATGTATATGATACATAAGGATATTTGCTATTATTTTATTTTAGTTTTCTAATTAAATAATTTGAATTAAACTTTAAATGTACTGTAAATTTTAATTTTGTTTTACTTTAATTTAAATAATAAAAAAGGCATTTTATAATATAATTTTCGATCATTTAATTCAATTTGAGTTTATTTTGGTTTTTCAAAATTTAATTTATGATTTTTCGTTTAACTCGAAATTAACTGTTGAATTATATTTTTTTATGTAATATATTGTTGTTGTTATTTCAACTTTCATCTTTGGTTTCGCCTTATACAATACTTTAAACCCTTAAACTGCCAGTTACTGGCAACCCCCATTTTGACACTTCAACACCCTACGGTTGTTGTAACACAGGAAACAAAACCACAATTACAACAACAGCAACAGAATGCTCGCATAACAATCACAAAAATGAATTATGATTGCGGCTGCCTGACACTAGCGAAAGCAACGAAAGTACCTGCAAACACATACACACACACACACACACACAGACAAGTGCGCACAAGTCTATATAGAAGCTGACATATATAGCTTTAATCCCATGAAATGCCACTCGTTGACCTTACAGCATGGCACGGTGCGTAGACGTTACCAACACGCACACACACATAAAAAATGCACATAAAGCGTACGTTACGTATACGCAGTGTAGACCACTGCTAGAGGGGTAGTGTAAAATACGAAATGGAAGTGAGAATTTGCGGTGCATTCGTGTAGCGAAAGTGGGATGTGTGTGTTGGCAATGCCACATACTCCTGGAGAAATTAGCGGCGTGTGAAGTGCAAAGAAGACAGATTCGTTAAGGTGAGAGGTGTGCTTGTGCGCTCAAGCTTCTGCGGTTGCTGTGGCTTTTGCGGTTGCAGCTCGTCAATTGTGGCATTGTTCGTATAATAGTTGATTATAGTTGTATGGTTGAGTGTTTGTGGGTGTGTGGACAGCTAATATAAGCGTAGCGGAAAAGCGCAAAACGTGCAGCTTTTGATTTTGGAAATTTAATTTAGACAAATTTAATAAATTTTAGTATTAATAATATTATTATATTATATAGTATTTAGTATCCAATTGAAAAATGAAAAAAGGAGGAGGAAAAAATAACACTTTCGTGCTCAAAACAAATATAAAATTTTTTTTTTAATATTTATTCAGCTAAAAATATTTTTTATGGTATTTAATATATCTAATTTTTAATTTTATTTTCATATATTCATATATAAATATAATTTATTGTTTTCTCTCTTTTTTATGTCATATTAAATCCCAAATTACTCACCTTCGGCACACCACCCGCTCTTATATCACTAACTTGACACAATTCGATGACGTCACCTTCCTGGACAGGTATGTGGTATTTGTATGAAATAAGATTTTAATAAAGAAAGTGTATAAATTGTTAAAAATATACATATCTAGTTATAAATTTTAAATTAAACATTTAATTAAATAAAAAAACATTTTTACTGTCAACTCACCCTGCCATCGCTTTTCCAATACAAAAAGAATCCATATTCGTCCACTTTGAACATAGCGTCCTTCTCGAAGTCATTCTCCTTTGTTTCCTTCTCATTTTCGAACCAGCGATCGAACACGCAACCGGTGGTTAACTCCTCCGGCACCGGAATTATCCAATCGAATTCGTACTTTTTCGTCATTTTGAATGGTCGACGTCTTTCCGCTCAACTAACAGTAACTATTAAGCGAGTTATATTTGTTTAAATATTTATTTACAACTACAATTTGCCGTTATGTGTTTGTTTTTCAAACGCCTTTTTCCTTAAGCTTTGCAACAGGAAACAAGTTCCTGCTTGACTTTTGCGACTAGATTATCATTTTTGTTTTTGTGACTCTTCTTTTGAGATATTTTGAAGATTTGTAGGTTAAAAATTACATTTTCGGTGAATCTGTTTATATATTTGAGATTGCGAAATTCGATCTGCTGAGAGTTATGTGATTTGTTTATGTATATGGAATGATTGAGATCCTTGGTTAAAATCTGCAAATAAAGAGAACAGAGAAATACTTAGTACTTACATATATTAAAAAAAGAGTAGTTAAAAAGAGAGCAAGAGTTTCATAAACCCGACAAGAATTGAATCACATATCCAAATCGTGAACGAAACGCTTTGACATTATTTTATATCTTTAATATTTAATATATACAAAATTCCACTTCCTTTAAGCACTATTTATCTGTTGGAAAGACTCTGTTCCCCTACATAAGTCTACACACACAATATGAAATCCATGCAGTAGCTTTCATAAACCAATTATTTCGATTATATTGACGATCATTTCTTTTATATTCTATACGTTGTTTTGCAGCGTGCGTTTTTGTTTTTCTTTTCTTTTCATCTGCCAATTCGTTTTTGCTACCTATTTGTTTTATGTTTTAAGCCTACTTTTAGGTGTCTAGGCTTTTCATTGGCTTTATCACCCGTAGATTGATAGCTTAGCTACTTCTACTTCAGTGGTTGTGAGAGAAGTGTGCCTGTAGGCGCCTAAAAGTATGCACTGCAATGTCTGCGTTCATCCCTATGAATTATCTTTTTGCCAATCGTGTGTATGGGTCATTAACTTTTAAGCGCGCAGCGGCATTGATAAAAGATAATAAATTATTTTCGAAAGTGTGAGCAAGCGGCAGTGTCACAGCACCTACGGCATCGATCCCACTTGGCTTGATTTATGATTTTTAGTGAGTTCGTGGAGATGGGTACGATTTTTGCTACAAAAAATAATGATAAATTGGAATCTAATAACTAAAATATAGTATTAAATACATTGTATTTACTGGTGAAGTCTTAAATGCTGAAATTTCATAACCTGCGCCTAAAGGTATGCTACGTGTATTTAAGAAGTTGTTAATTTTCGACGAAATTAATGAGTTTTTCCAAAATACTTAAATATTTTTTGAAAATAAGTTTTTATCGTGCAATGCGCCCGAAAGTATGCTATTTTAGCTATTAAAGTTGTTGTTTTTTCGATTTTCCAGAATTTTCTTTCCTTTTGCATACCAAATAATACTAAAATTGCAAAAATACATTTGCGCATCGATCTTAAGTTTCAGCTAAAAGTATGCAAGAGCAGATAGTGGCTGCTTGAATCCTAAATGTATGCTGCAAAACAAATGAGATTGTTAATATTTAAAATCTTTAAATAAAGTTTTAACTTGTGGTCAGGATGCTTCAATTTTCCTTCGAAGTAAACAATTTTTGTATTTGATGACAGTGCGCGCTCAAAAGTATGCAATTACATCAAAGGCAACTTATGGTCACTCCGATTTTTTAAAATGTTCATATTTTTTGTAAGCAAAATATCACTCAAATAGTAAAAGTACAATGCTGCGCCAAGTTAATTATATGTTGAAACTTGTAAAAATCGCAAGAGCTACTACTTAAGGCCGAAATGTATGCTATGAAATTTTTAAAATTGTTAATGTTGAAAATCTTTAAATGAAATTAAAAATGTTTGCTCAGAATACTTCAATTTTCTTCAGAATTATAACTTCCTTGTTTGTATTTTATACTTTGCCACAGTGTGCACTCAAAAGTATGGCATTTTAACGAGTTAAACTGGTTGTTCTTCCAATTTTCTTTCCTCTTGTATACCAAGTAATACTAAAATCACAAAAATACACTTGTGCTTTGCGTGATGTCTAGTTTGTGTACTGCTATCTAAAAGTATGGCACAGCAGTTGGTAGTAACTTAAATCCCAAATGTATGCAAAACCAACAAAGGTTCTGGTGCCAGCACTTAAGTACCTACGCAAGCAACTCTTGTAAAGCAAAGCAGAATGAAAGGAGTGGTGTAAAGTTGAAAATACTTTACTAAAAACGCGCCTGAACATGCCACTCGTATGCGCCTGAAAGCCAACTCAATTTTTTTTCCTACTCTAAGCAAATATTATTCCCACAGCATAATTTTGGCAATTGTAAGAAGATTGGTATTATTTTGTATATACATACGAGTACATATGCACATACATTTGTATGTGTTGTACCTCAACATTTATTTCACCACTATCGAGTGATATGTATTGGTCACTGAAAGCAGCGCTGCACAATTGAAGCGCTCGAGTGTAAATGACAAACACATTTTGCCCACTTGTGTCACTTGTCATCAATAATGTTTGTTGTTTTTATGACAACATGTACAGTAGTTTTTGTTGCTTTTGTTACATATTAACTGTATATATTCTTGGTGCGTGCAAAAAATAGTGCCAATAACATATATACACTTATAGCGAAATGAATTTTGTTTTGCTGTTGTTCTTTTTTATTTCTTTCTTTGTTTGCTTTTGCTGCGTAGTTTCTTAATCCCGTTTATTTTCCGGCTGTCTAGTTCTATTCTCCCGTTGTTGATTTTATTTAGCTATTTTATTTATGTATGTTTGTTTTACTAGTGCAAAAGCAAGTTGGGTGTCTCGTGTAGTCTACTTTTAGTTGCTAGCGTTATAAGCACTGGAGCGAACGAGAAATATGTGACATGGTCATTAAATTAAATGTACGGAAGTGTATTTTTTACTTTAATATTGCATACTTTAAGACGTAATATTTTATTACATATTAATGCTTAGAAAAAGAAAACTTTTTTTAATATAAAAATTTTTTAGTACAAAGTTTTAGGACTCTTCAGCACATATATTTTTAGTACTAATTTAGGCGGCGTGTGGCATTGAAACTATTAAAAACACAGCGAGTAATTTTAGCCACTGAATGTCTCAAATAATTAACATTTGCACGACTATCACTAACTTTGAACTTTTTAGTACTCAACTTTTCAATAATATTTATCAGACATTAATATATATAAAAGTTTCCAAATTTTATATAAATACAAATAAATATAAACAATTGCTTTGTTATCATTTTTGGCATAAAAAAATTGTGTACTAAATTCAAGTACAATTTAGTACATAATTTTTTTTTACTACTTTATGCCACGTGTAGTTTTAGCTCTTTATGCAGAGCATCGATATTAAATTGAAATCTCTGAACCTTTCAAATATTTTACATTTCGCAAAATATCAGCATAACTTTAACTTCAGAACTGTTAGTATTAACTGTTCTTAAAATTTTAACACATTAAACAGTTAAAAATTTTTACTAAATATTAATTTTATTTCTTTATTATGATTTTGAGCATAAAAATATTTAGTAAAAAATTGTAGTACACATTTTTTAGTACTACTTAGGCTGCATGTGTTTTGGGTGCTATAGTGACACCGATATTAATTTGGACCGCTGATAATCAAAATTGTTTCCATTTATGAAATTATCCTCATAATCTCTATTTCATAAATTTTAGTACATATATCACAAGAATTTTTAGCACACTAAAATGTTAAATTTTTTTCTAATAATTGATTAATTTACTGTGATTCTCAGCATGAATACAAAAACAGTTCTTAATTTTAGTACACTCGAGCACTAATTTCTTGGTACTGTTTGGTACTAAATTCACACATAAATTTTTTAATTTATTAACATTTTTAATGAATGTTTGGTGTTAAACTGTGTTATTTTGAGTACTCCTACTAAAAGCAACATGTTTTATCAACTAAATTCTACTTTTATAATTAAAATTGCTTAGTGTACTAAAATGTATAGATTTTAATGATAAATTTGAATTTTGTAAATTTTTTAAATATTTCTGTGAAGATATTTTACTTTTTGAAAAATAATAATTTACTTATATTATAATTATTTTTTATAATAATTGGATGCTAAAATAGTTTAAAATTTAATTTAAAAATAAATATTGGTATTGTTAGTATCCTTTTTTTAATTTTGTAATCCTACTAAAATTTTTAAATTTAAAAATATGAAAATTTTAATTAAGCATTCCACTCCACACAAATTTTTGCAAAAAGCAGTGGGAGATCGGCATGAGTAAGCGATAAGAAACGACTCTATCTTTTATACGGAGTATCCTCTCATATTCTCTAATATAATATATGCTCTTCATATTCTCCGTATAACAAATAGAGTCGTTTCTTATCTCTTACTCATGCTGACCTCCCAAATTTTCAATGCTTTATGACCCGCATAAAATTTCATTCAATCATCTTCAGTCATCTCATTTTCTTATCATTTCCTTTTGTATGTGTCACAGCGAGTGAAAGCGTGCGGGGACATTATCATAATTTTTGTAAATCGTATGGTCGAGGTCAACGGCAAATAAATAATATATTTTGTATATAATAGACGTCATATCTATTTCATACATTTGATAAAATAAATCAAATACAATGAGAATTGAAAGTAATCCACATTTGCAACAAGAATAAGTGAGTTCAAAGCTTTATACACTATATATAGAGGAGAGTATGATTTTCAATGGTTTAATCTACACGCGTCTAATCAACGAACAATGCACGGCAAAGCAAACGTCTGAGTGTTAGTCATTCATGGACATTTCAATCAAAGATATAACTAGTATTATGCGAAGATTTTAACATAATAGTTTGCATTCAAAGTAATTTGTGTGTGCTAATTGGTATATTTAATACATTGTGGTGGGCAATAATTGTGAGTAAATATTAATATATGTTTTTATGATATATGGTATGGTATGTAATAAAAGTATGTTTAAATAAATTGCTGATTTTCAATTTAGTAACAGAAGTTAAGAAATTGTGACATATGATATTTGAATAAAATGTATGGTCCTAAATTTTTAGTACCATTTTAAATATAAATAGCGTTGTATACCTTATATTAAAAGTCATCGATTATTAAAGTAAAATATTAATATAATTGGTAGTACTAAATTTTAGAACTATTTAAGTATTCTTTTAAATATTGTATCAATTGCGCTTCATACCGTAACTTAAAACTCAACGATGAAAAAATGTCACTATAATTTTTAGTACTAATTTAGTACACCACTTACATAAACTATGTACAGATCTCATAAGTTTTGACGCTTCGAGATAAATTTCTGATTTTAAATTTAATAATAAAAGCTAAAAAAATATAACTGTTAATATATTAG